ACGGTGAAGAGCTCCCGCGCTCCGTGAACGCCGATGCAGTCAAGAAATATTTTGCTTAGGTTTGAGTTGACAGTTTGCTAAGTTGAAAACCCGAAAGGGCGTCTTAGGCAAGCTTTTGGTCAGACCAGTCTTGGCATTTGAACACATTTCGGAATTCGAAGTTGTTAGGGAGAATAGTGATCATTGTTTTTGTGTAACCCTTTCTTTCATGTACTATTTCCCAAACTTTTGTAAACCGTTGGAGTCGCGTTGTTAGTGAACTACCATCTTATTAATGAAATTTGAGCATTTACCTTTTGTGGGCAAAATTTTAAATTTACGGAAATATTTGAAACAAAGTTATTTAAAGTATTCTTATTTTAAAAATGTGTCGTGAATAATGAAGGGAATATTAACAGTTGTTCCGAGGATGGTCAAGCCACGAAATGCAAAACAATACAGTAATTTATCCTTGCATGATGAACATGTTTTATTTCAAAATCGTCATGAGGTGTTGGTTGTGTAAACTTGCGTTTCTCGTGGTACTAAGTTTGGTGACTCCCCAGTTTTTCCAGTTAAGCGTTGTTTTGGTTATCTTTATTTGAGCAGATTTCTGTAGTGTGGTACGCTTTGTCTCATGCCAGTGGTCTATTGGTATTAGAAGATTGGATTTGAATACTTTTCTCCTCAGAAGACTTGAGCCTTGTAGCGTGATACGCTCTGACGTTGCTTTGTGGTTCCAGTTCCAGTTATTCTCCGTCTTTTTTAAGATTGGCCGAGTATCTATTATGTCGTGACATCTTATTGTCTTCAAGTTATTCCATCTGTTTGTTTTGTCAGCAAAACATTCATTCACTCATTTACACTTATATCAGCATGCATATTCACATTTGTCGTTGATTTTGGGTTGTATACTTTGTTTATTAAGACAATGTACATGTTCTTTCCAAGTAGAAGGTTTGCTTAGGCAGAAAATGTGCTTCCTTTCTAAATTCCCCAACTGAGCTAATCCTCATGGATGATTTTTTGATTTAGCCTACCTTGTCCATTTCTGGATAGGATGAATCCCCCAATCAAGTTACTTTCTCATTGGGTGGAGTCTTGTTTGACTGTTTTCTCTCTGGTTTATTCCTGGAGGGAGTTGTTGTCTCTTGCATAGGCTATCTCATGATTTTCCCCAGTGAAGTCGCCACCTAGACGAATGATGCATTTATTTTGCACATTTAAGTATGTGATCTCCTCGGGAAGGATTGATTCATGGTTCTCTTTGACGAAGATTTTATTCTCTACAAGTGTCATCGCAATTTCCTTCTGAGTTATTCTTCAGAAAACGACAAGCGGCAGCTCTTCACGAGCAACTTGTACGTTATTGTTTTTGGAAAACGGCAAGCGGCAGCTCTTCACGAGCAACTTGTACGTTATTGTTTTTGGAAAACAACAAGCGGCAGTCTCTTCATGAGCAACTTGTACGTTATAGACATCGTTGGAAAACGACAAGCGGCGGTCTCTTCATGAGCAACTTGTACGTTATCATCTTTTGGAAAACGGCAAGCGACAGCTCTTCACGAGCAACTTGTACGTTATTGTTTTTGGAAAATGACAAGCGGCAGTCTCTTCATGAGCAACTTGTACGTTATAGACATCGTTGGAAAACGACAGCGAGCGGCAGCTCTTCACGAGCAACTTGTACGTTATTGTTTTTGGAAAAATAGCAAGCGGCAGCTCTTCACGAGCAACTTGTACGTTATTGTTTTTGGAAAAACGGCAAGCGGCGGTCTCTTCATGAGCAACTTGGGCGTTATTGATATTTTTTCTGGAAAACGGCAAGCGGCGGTCTCTTCATGAGCAACTTGCGCGTTATTGATATTTTTTCTGGAATACAGCAAGTGGCGGCTTCTTTATTTGAGCAGCTTGTATGTTATTGGCATCCCTGGACGACAGCGAGTGGCAGCTTCTTTATTTGAGCAGCTTGTATGTCATAGTATTTTTGGAAGACAGCAAGTGGCGGCTTCTTTATTTGAGCAGCTTGTATGTTATTGGCATCCCTGGACGACAGCGAGTGGCAGCTTCTTTATTTGAGCAGCTTGTATGTCATAGTACTTTTGGAAGACAACAAGTGGCGGCTTCTTTATTTGAGCAGCTTGTATGTTATTGACATCGTTGAACGACAGCAAGTGGCAGCTTCTTTATTTGAGCAGCTCGTATGTCATAGTATTTTTGGAAGACAGCAAGTGGCGGCTTCTTTATTTGAGCAACTTGTATGTTATTGACATCTTTGAACGACAGCAAGTGGAAGCTTCTTTATTTGAGCAGCTTGTGCATCTACAACCATATTATTATTTCAGCATTAATTAGTATATCTCCGGAAATCTCGCAGAGAGGCTCGTTATGAAATCTTTGCCTTCAGAAGTTGGCAGTCCATTATCAGCAAAATTGATACATCTTTTGTCTATCTTTGACCTTGAGTTGGGAACTCACTGTTATTTTGGGTCAATAATCTGTTTTTTGTGGCCTATGCAAGATGCCTTCTTTGTTAGAGTCAGAGGTCGTATTCTCTCAAATTTTTATTCGTTGTCAAGAGTCTATCATTTGAAGTCGATGGCTTATTTCCCCAGTAGTGTATAATCTATGTTCCTGTGATTTATTGGTGTTTGGCTTCTCCGGCATTGTTTCTGTCTTATACATTATCATTCTCCATGAATTTAAATACTACATCCATATCATAAACATAATGGCGGTATCTTAGAGCAAAAATTACGTATTATGTATTTAAGTACCTTCAATCTCGTCGAGACGAAGATTTTAATCTTCATATCTCCGGATAGAAGAAACTTAAATAGGGGCAGCTGTCATACCCCAATTTTTGACCTAAGATCCCACCTCCCATCTGTGTCATTACATAGCAAGCGTTCACAAGCGATTCGACCCATTTTTTCCATTTTTCTCGGGTCAGATTTCAAAAATTCATAACGTCTTCGAATTTCGACATTTTTTTTAGTGGTTCTTTTACACATGATTCTCCTTGACAACAACTACAACTTTCCTTTAGAAGTCAAGAGATGATTATTTGTTTGAAATGCCACGAAGGAATGAAAACGTTAGAAGTCGCTTTATGAATTTAATGAAATTTGATCATGTCTTGTCCAACCTTACCAAATCGTGCATATCGCACATTTTTTTCGTTTTGTATTTTATCATTTTTGTATTATTTAAAAAAAATCTAAAAATATGTATTTTAGTTCATGTCATTTTTTTTTACAAACGCATTATTAGAAAAATCACAAAAATATTTATAAGTAGCATTATAGTATTTTAAATTCGCAATTCTTAATACAAAAAATATAAAAAAAAATATAATATAGTTTTATTGGTTCCATTTAGATTCATGTTTTAGTATAAATTTTAATCCAAAAAAAAATTCAAAAATATAGTTCATACCATTTTACATATTTCATTTTTATTTAATTAATAATTGGATTTGAAATTGAGTTTACATTTCTAATTATTAATTGACTTTTTTTTTTCAATTGTTTTTTGTTTCAATCATTTTTGCATTTTTGCATTAATAATCGGTTTTTGTCATTATTGTCTTACTAACAATTTTTTTCTTTTGTTACTTTATTGCTATTATTATTGTTGGGCCTTTTATCTTTTTGTCATAATAAAAAATAGCAATTTTGAACTACTACTAGAGGTTCACATGATTAACACAACCTTCATTTCAAAATGTTACTGTTACATTATGCTAAAAATGGCTAAGCTAAAATATACCAAGAAAAAGAAAGACTGTTTTAGCACTAATAGAGTTTCATTCAAAACTGGCCAAAATAGTAAAAACGGGAATTACAATTGGCAAAATATGGAAGACAGGTTGCTACACTCCAAAAACTACTATGCTATGTTATTGCTGTCCACACAAGTCCAAACTACTGCTATTTGCTGCTCTAAAATCTTGCCTTGTCCCTATCTTTGAGGTCCAAATCAACCCTGCTGCAAGATGCCAAAAACCTGTCAAGCTAGGCCAGATTGCACAAAAATTGTTAAACATTCTTACATCCATAAAGCATAGATCAGAAATGCTCTTAATGGATTCAATATTTTAATCTTGAGACTATATAATTTAGAGCTTTATCACAATGAAGGAAGAGAAAAATTAAGCAAAAAATCACACTATACTTCCTCTATCTATAGAACAAACTTCAACCTTTAGTATCCTCCAAAAAAATTCCATACAAAAACTACAGCGACACTTTGCTCCACCGTGACACCTCCACGACTTTCCATATTCTAATCCCAACTTCCATCAATTTCCAAACCTTTAAAACACAACATTCATACCCCACACAAACTTCAAAAATCGAAAAAAAAAATCAGAGCTACAGCAACAAATTCAACAACACCGACAATTTAGAGTCAGTTTCACAGGAAAAAAGAAGAGAAAAATTCAAAGAAAAATCAATAGAGGAAAAGGCACAAATTCCACACAGTAAAACTTCAACTTCGCTGCATTAGAACCACATCTACAAATACAAAACTTCAACTCACCTTAATCATCGAAGTCGGTATTCTTCGTTCCTCTCTGCATTTTCTTGTCAGTATCATAACTTGTAACATCTGTTTTGCTATAGATATGAATATGTACTTGTGTGCATCCTTTGGTTTTTATAGTTATTTTGTTTTCTATTGAGCCGTGAGTAACCGAGATTTTGAAAATCAGCTAAGAGTTTTTTTGTTTTCGAAGCATAGACTGAAAAAGGGGTATAATCGGACAGAGGGAGTTTTTTTTTCCGGAAGATATGTTTGAATTTTGTTTCGAAATCAGGATAAAGATGATGGAAGCCATAAGATGAGAGAAACAAAGTTTAGAATTTGAGAGGAACAAAGTTTAGAAATCGATAGAGTAAGAGACTCGATTGAGAGAAGGAAGGAGAAGTTTTTTTTTTTTGTTGTTTCGGTATAGCAAAGAAGTTTACGCTTGAGAGATTTGTAGCATGTGAGAGAGATTAATTTGATAATTCAATATGCAGTTAAGAGAAATTATAGGGAACCCAAGTTTTAAGCATGACTTTTCCTCTTCCCAATACAAGCAGCCGCGGCGCTACTTTTCCCCTAGGGTTTTCAAAAATTTCCTTGCCCCTTCTCCCAAACCGGGTCAGCCCTTTGGGCCTTTTAGCCCAATCCGATTATCATCATCCCCTTTATATTTCAGTAAAGACGTAGTAATAACAAATAAGCAATACAGTTCAATTGGTAAGACACGTTTGCAGTAACCTAAAGAACCTGAGTTCAACTCTCAGTTAGGCCAATTTTCTCTTTTTCCTTGACTCTTTGACCTTATTCCAAAAAATTAGTAAATCTTATAACTAATTTAGTTTAGTATTAATTTAGATTTATTTTATAACTTTATTTGTTTTAGCTTTAGTTTAGTAAACTTTAGAATTTTATTTTGTTTTAGTATTATTTTAGTAACTTTAGGATTTTATTTCATTTAGATTTGACTTAGTAAACTTTAGAATTTTATTTTGTTTTAGTATTATTTTAGTAACTTTAGGATTTTATTTTATTTAGATTTGACTTAGTAAACTTTAGAATTTTATTTTGTTTTAGTTTTATTTTAGTAACTTTAGGATTTTATTTCATTTAGATTTGACTTAGTAAACTTTAGAATTTTATTTTGTTTTAGTTTTATTTTAGTAGCTTTAGGATTTTATTTCATTTAGATTTGACTTAGTAAATTTTAGAATTTTATTTGTTTTAGTTTTAATTTAGTAAACTTTAGAATTTTATTTGATTTTATTTAAGTTAACTTTAGAATTTTAGTTGTTAGTTTTAGTTTAGGGACTTTAGAACTTTATTTGATTTAGAATTAGTTTAATGAGTTTATAATTTTTATTTGATTTAGAATTAGTTTAATAAGTTTAGAATTTTAGTTGTTTAGAATTAGTTTAATATTCTTTTAGAATTTTATTTGATTTAGATTTAGTTTAGTAACTTTGGAACTTTTTTTTTGTTTTAGATTAGCAACCTTGGAATTTTTATTTAGTTTAGATTTAATTTACTAATTTTAAAATTTTTAATCTAGTTTAGATCTAACTTAGTAGTTTTAGAATTCTAATTTATTTTAGATTTAATTTATTAACTTTAGAATTTTAAGTTAGTAATTTTATAATTTTAATTTAGTTTTAGTTATTAACTTTAAAATCTTGTTTAGTTTAGTTAGAAACTTTAGAATTTAAGTTTAGTTTACTTAGTAACCTTAGAATTTTAAAATTAGTTTAGATAACCCTCTAATTACATTTTCCTTTTATTCATGATTCTTCTTTGTACGTTTATTTAGTTTCTTATAGTTTATCTTATCACTATTCTCCTTGTTTGTTTCTTTTGAATTTTTAATTACTTATATATGATTCTTGCTCGATTACTATACCTACTTGCTTATGATCAACTCCAAGGGAAAGAATTAAATTTGTTGACTTCATGTCATCAAATATATCTTACACGATCGAGCGAATACCCCCATTCATTAAAAACATAGGATAATTTTCCCAAATATCCAATTTCTTCAGAAACTCATACCTTTTAAGTCAAAACTTCGACATTAGGTCTTCGTATCTTCAAAAACTCGTCCATACCCATCTTCGGCCAAAACAATTTATTTTTAATCAAATGAACATTTTAATAAACAGATATTTCAAAAGGTTCCTATAGAATACTATAGATACATTGGGTGCTAATACCTTCCCATTGTATAACCAACCCCCGAACCATAGACCTCTTTTCAAAAACGCCTTGTATTTTCATTACTTTTAAAAGTATTATTTTACATTGCATACTTTAGGGTTTTATTTCGCTCTTTTCCCTTTTCCCTTGGAAATAATAAAGCGCGGTGGCGACTCTTGCTTTTGTGAGACGAGTTAATTAATAATTCGATCTCCGATTTACCCCGCTACATTTTTTATCGCTACAACAACTATCTGTGAACAACAGTTTGTAGATTAATTCCCAAGACAAGATTGGGGAAAATATCTATAAGACCAGGTTAGAGATTAATTCTTGAAACAAGACATGGCAACTATCTCGACGCCCAACAAAAAGCAGGTTCCAGATTAATTCCTGAAACAAGACAGGGCAACTATCTGGATAACCAGCCACATATTAATTCCTAGAACAAGATCAGACAATTATCTGTGAAGAATAAAACTGATGAAGATCAATTCCTGAAACAGGACGGGACGACTATCTTTATCACCAATGGTACAAACTGATTGTAGATCAATTCTCGAAACAGGACGGGGCGACTATCTACATGAACAGGTTAAAGATTAACTCCCGAAACAGGACGAGGAAACTATTTTTCTTTCTCTTTGGTCAGATAAAGATCAATTCCCGAAATAGGATGAGGAGACTATCTTTATCACCAATGATATAAACTGATTGTAGATCAATTCCAAAAACAGGATGGGGAAACTATCTTCCTTTCTTTCTTTGGTCAGATAAAGATCAATTTCCGAAATAGGACGAGGTGACTATCTTTATCACCAATGGTATGAACTCCCGAAACAACACGGGTTTACCAACAAAACTGATTGTAGATCAATTCCCAAAACGGGATGGGGCGACTATGTACATGACAAGCAGTTACTCAAACACCTTTCCCATAGATTCATTCTGGAAAGCTTTCTTCGGATACAGTCGAACGTATAATCATTCAGATACTTCTATCAACAATTGTTTTGGATTGTATCTATAAGCCCATCTCTTACGACTCTCCGTTATCTCTACAAATTTCATATTTAAGCCCATTCTCGGTATAATCAACCAACATTTTTGCTTCATGCACATGCGAGTGCAAATTTCTGGGCACTTAAGTGTTCAATCCTCTTCTACCTTTAAGTCACGAATGATGGACAAACCAATCTAACTCTTCAAGTTTAAGAAGATTAAAAAGGGGTTGATGTTGTACCCCAAAATTTTCCATCCCTTTTCCTCAAAACATTTCTCACCAAATATCTCAAATCCTTAAGGGTTCTCAAGAGTTTGATCAGGCACGCTCACCACCTAAAGCACTAAGTCCACAAATTAGGGTTTTGGTTTTCTCAAGATCAATTGGACTTTTTATGCCTCCAAAGAATTTCATGGTTCATTAAAGGTCTCCAATATTACTCATACCAAGTTTCAAGTCTTGCACCACAAATTTTCTCAGTCAATTGCTCAGATGACGGAAAATCAACTACATTAGGTAAAAAGTCAATTGTGGTCAACATACAGTCAAAATTCATGATTTTTGGCCAACATCAACATTTTTAAGTCATATTCATCAATTTATCAAGGTTTGATCACAATTCCTCAAGAAAAGCATTCAAATCATCAAATGGGCAAAATTGTCAAAATTAGGGTTTTGATTGAGAATGACTGGTCATTGACTTTTGACCTAGTACATGATGTAATGGCTTGAAGCATGATCTTAAGGATTCAAACATAATGTATTGACCTAATTTCATGGCTCAAATCACTTCTCAATATCAAGGGGGTTGATAGTTGAATTTGGATCAACTGATGAAAAGTCAATTGGCACACAAAAAGTCAAACTTTGACTTTTTGGTCAATATTGAATTTCAAATATCAAAATTCATCAAGACATTCAAAAATATCAAACTTGATCATAAAGAATCAAGAAAGTCAAGAAAAGTCAACAAAAGTCAACAAAAGTCAAGATTTTCAAATACTTAGAAAAATTCTAAGTGTTTTTGACCTTGATAATTTCACTACTTCATGACAATTTTTCACCAAGATGCAAGATGATTCAAGGAAAGCTTTCAACTTGAAAGTTGTAGATCTTGATTGTAAGTGCCCTGGCTGGAGAGTTGGCTTCATTTGTAAAACAAATAAGAAAGCAAGTTTACCCAGATTCCCTCTGTTGTTTTAATATGTGGTGTTGAAGAAGTTCAACATCTGGACCAACATGTTATGTAAGATGTCACAACATCAGCATATGACATCGCGCCTGATATTAAGTACTGATTAAGTAACTATGTTATATGTTGAATGTTTGTAACAGCTGTGACTTGTAACCTAACTATTCTAAGTGATCTAAATCATGAAAGAGGTTATTTGTTGTGTTGAAAAAGTTCAACATCTAGGAAAACATGTTAGATGTAATGTCATGACATCAGACTTGACATCACGTCAACAGAATTGATAATTCAGTTACAGTTCTGGTACTTAAATACTCTGAGAATATATGTGGCGTTTCTTATGGAGAATCTGAAGATCAATCAAGAATCAATCAGAATATTTGAAGAAAATACTGTTTCTAAATATGGAGATATTTTAGGAACTAGAAGATTGAAGACCTTGATTATAGGAGAAGTTTGCTGCTGAGTTGTAACAGCAAGGAGAAAAGCTTGCTGAGATTTTTGAAGGCCCAAATCCAGTTGGGTAATAGGTTATAAATAGCAGATTGTAACCTAGGGTTTTGTGTAGTAAAAATAATGTAACATTGGGGTGTTTTGTTAGGAAAACCTGTCGGTCTGTGGCAAGGTTACCATGCGTGTAACTCAAAACCTGTAGGTAAGATTTTGAGTGTTCTTGGATGAAGCTGTGAAGCAAGTCTAAGTATTTTTGCATTACTTTATATTCATTGTAATGTACGAAACCAAGTGGGAGGGCACTGCTTCTTGAGTAGGAGTAAGACTTCTGTTGTTGCGACAATAGGATTGGAAACTGGTAGGTTTCTATCTAGGAGTTCCTAGGTATAGGTTGCACTGGGTAGATGATTAAGTGAAGGATGGGAACTTGTGAAGTTTAGTCCTGAATTAATATTGCTGATAGTGGATCTTCTTCCTGGCTTGGTATGCCCCCAGAGTAGGTGTGTTTCACCGAACTGGGTCAACAACTGATTTGTGTTTTTACCTTCAACACTTTATAATTCTGTTTGTTATATATATCAAGGTAAAACTGTAATGTTGTAACAGATGATGTCTCAGAACATGTTAAAACATCATGCTGATATCTGTGCAGAAGAAACAGAACTGCAAAGGTTGTTTACTCTCTGCTGATCATGTGCAGAACTAGGCACATCGGTGTCCTATCCTCTGCACCTTCAAAGTAGGTCTGGCACAGCTTGGTTAAACTGTGCTTCAGTTACTCTTCACTACTGAATCATAAAAAATTGGGTATCTACCTTGCAGTGTATTTATTATGTCATATCAGATGTTTAGACATTGAGTATAACATCTGAAGACTGGCATACACCAGAATTTCAATTGGT